ACTCTTTTTCCTAATAAAATTAAAATATTAATAATAAGGAAATAAATATATGTATATATATATATATATATATTGAATGGAAATATATGTATATATATGAATGGTGTAGTGTTTGAAATATGCTCATCAACACTGTTTTGGGTATTACAACTGATGACGAAATTGGTAAGAACTATTAGAAAAATGTTACGAGATATATAGGTATAACAAACAAAATAAAAAAGATATTAATTAATAGAAAATCTTTGATAACTTTATTTATCTACAGTTAATGTACGAAATAGTTGTTGGGGAGGCTCGTCAGAATTTGATATAAATCCTTTGTAACTTTTTCAAAAAAAGACTTATGACAGTAATTTTGGGTTTAAACTTTTTTAGATTCTGTATATTAGTTATTTCATAAAACAAAATATTAAATATTTACGAAATAAATTATTATTTAGTGGGTAATTATGTTTATAATGAAGAATAAATACATTGATATATCTAGTCTTCAATAGCATTTATTTTGAAAAATAACAAGGACATTCATAGTCATGATACAATAATAAATGCCGATGTACACTTTCCATTTTTGAAAAAAACTCAATAGGTCAGTGATCAATAACTTACGTAGGGGGTAAAAATTTGGAATGCTATATAAAATAATATAATATAAATGAACCCGTTAAAAATATGTCTAAGAAATTAGTCATTAAATGTAAGGTTTACATGGCTTTTTTATATTTAATTAAAAATCATACTATTGTCAGTTAGCGATATCCTGTATAGTATGTGCTGTCATTTTTTATTTTTTTGCATTTTATAAATGTTTCTTTTTTAGTTAATAATGTTTCTTTCTTATTAGAGAGGATGCACGTTGTGTAAACATTCTATCCTTTATTGCTTTTTTGTGTCTCCCTTTTCTGTACTTGTGTGGCTGTTGTTAAAAAAGATATTAATTACTTACAACATATTGGGTTATCTAGTTATTGAATGAAATTTAATTGACTGTCACTAAAAGCTGGAAGTACGAAGCATATTTGTTAGAACCACGTCTCGAACCCAAGACCCTCGAACGAGGTCGCGATCGTGCCTTTATTTTCTGGAACAAAAAATACTATTTCTCCTGACAACGGTGCTTGTAAAACCATCGTTGTAAAGTAAAATCACTATATTCAGTTATCAAAAATAAAACCACAAACTTCAGAACACATAATTTTATTAAAAACTCAAGGATTAAACTTATGTTTTTCTCAAGAACAAACAGAAAAATAGCTATCATTCAATTAAAGGTCAACATAAGCTGAAACGTTGGGTTTTAATGAACATATTTTTCTGGAGTTTGTATTCTCAATATTAATAACTTCAACGTTTATCCAGTATATGACACTCTAACTCAGATTAATCTTTAGTTTTCAAGCGTTGTGTCTATAAACTATTAGGCTGCCTAGGACTTTAACAGTTTAATAATAATTCTGATATTAGATTAAGCTAATTATGTTGTTCAGACTCCAATTGGTTGTACAGCCTGGTCTGCTGAAGTACAACGGGAAAGTCCTTAGGTCTGAATGCCACAACCTAAAAGGCTACCGCCAAAGATCAAAGTAAAATTTCATTCACACCTGAGCTTGGTTGTAATTTTTTGAACACTTCCATTATGTTTATGTTTAAAATTATGGACTAGTTTTGTATGTGATGGACTACAGTAATTCAGGTACGTGAAAGGAAAAGAAAGCTCCATAGAATTTTAAAATCAAAGTCTATAGCGAGATATCATTTCAGGTTTAGTATTTCTTTTAGGCTGGCGAGTGTTGATAGTTCTTAACGTTTGTACTTAAATGTTACTGGTTAGTTTTCGTTTTTCGAATGATATGATGCTCATTTCTGCTGACTCCTTTAAAATATTGGTGTAGCCACATTTGGTTAAAGCATTATATTTCTTATTCGTACAATATTGGTGTAGCCACATTTGGCTAAAGCATTATATTTCTTATTCGTACAATATTGTTGTAGCCACATTTGGTTAAAACATTGTATCTCTTATTTATACAGTATTGTTGTAGCCACATTTGGTTAAAACTTTGTATCTCTTATTTATACAATATTGTTGTAGCCACATTTCCTTAAAGCATTAATGTTTGCTTTTGTTATAGCACTTGTATGACCACGCTTCAATGGTTTAAAGCATTACTGTCTTTTTTTTCTAAGGCACTTGTATGACCACATTCTCAAAAGTTTAAATATTAATGTCTGTTTTTCTACGGCATTGGTGTGACCACACTTACGTAATTTAAAACATTAATGCCTGTTTCTCGTTATATAATGAAGTCTCTTAGCACTAGAGTTTAAGATCCAGAGGTAGATCCTATTCTTTGTTCCAGACTTGAGTACAATGGTTCCACCGCAAGATGGCTTCAAGAAAGATACAAAAAAAACAACAGCATCGGCGATTAAAAACTCTGTATTCCACTAGCATCCTCAAACAATAGTTGGAGTGGAGTGATATTCAGCTGTCCAAACAGAAGTTAAAAATTATTTTACACGCGAGCAGCGAAACTTAATTGGAATCTAGGTCCTTTTCGGGACCAATAAAAGTGACCTACGCACATTGTAAACTACCGCCATTTCACAACAGAGGACTGGTTCTACCCCTGAATGTCAGCTTCTGTTACTGCACTGATATCACATGTTCATAGTGTGCTCGCTCTACCCTGTGGTAAAGCGCGAAATTTTTGAGTTGGCGAACCGGGTTCGAATCCGTAAGAAATCGCAAAATACTTCCCGCACTTTAAGATGTGAATGCGATATAATAATGACAGTCATTCCCTTAGCGTTGAGG